CACAGAGAGAGAGAGACACACACACACACACACACACACACACACAGAGACACACGCAGACACAGACACACAGACACAGAGACACACACAGACACAGACACACAGACACAGACACACACACACGCACAGAGACACACACAGACACACGCACACAGACACAGGCTTGTGAATCCATACATGTACTTCACACCACACGTCTCTACACACACACACGTGACACACTCTTACTGTGGATGAGCTGCAGCGCCTCCTCTTTGCTGCGTGTGATGTTCTCCTCTCTCCAGGAGGACGGCCGGCGCGACTGGTTGTGTTTGACCAGCAGGTGAGAGCAGCGCACTTTCTCCACCTCGCTGACGCCGTCGGGCCCCGCTCCGCTCGGCCGCTCCCACTGACTCGCATTTGTGATGTGATTGAAGTAATAAACCCGACCTGAGACACACACACACACACAGATCTTCAGACCGCTGCAAAGACATGCTCCGGTCATCCTCATCCCAAATCAACATAAAAACAATTCGGCAGATTATATGTGACACAGATCATGAGGCCGATTTAAGGACTAATTAAGATGCATTACGACACAGAATTAACCTGATTTTTCTCATTATTGTACAATTGTCAATTTATTTAAAACTAATTTGTAAGTTTAGTTCTTCCAAATTTGATCGAGCCTATGTTACTGTCAAGTTGAAGGAATATATATATATTAGTGCTGTCAAAATATCGCATCCATAATCAAAGTTTTTGTTTACTCAATATATGTGTGAGTACTGTGTATATTTATAATGTACATATAAATGCAAACATATGCATGTATATATTTAACAAAAATATGTAATGTTTATATATTAAATATATTTATATATAATATAAATATATACATGTAAATATTTTCAAAATTGTCTTTATATATACATAATAAATATGCACAGTACACACATATATTGAGTAAACAAAAACTTTGATTTTGGATTCGATTAATTGTTTGACAGCACTAACATATATATATAAATATAAAGATCACTCAAAAACGGTGCTGTTATAATTTGCTAAAAAGAAATAAAACAGAATATAAAAAATTAAAATGTATTTCAGTTAGTTGCAAAGGCAAAAATTTCAAGTTTAGTTTAACTACTAAAACTGAATGAATATACACTAGATATATATTTAAAATCTGACTAAAACATCCCACAAAATGTCTAAAATTAAAATGAAAAATGTAAGTAAACTCAGATGTAAAGATGCAAACTCAGAATTCTAAAAAAAAAAAGCATATTAGCTTGTAGATGAATAATAATATACAAATACTGTAATATTATTGCTGTTTTTACACTATAACTGACTATATATTTTAGTAGAAGCACAAGAATAATTTACAAGACAATTAATAATAAAATAATTCACTTAAACCAATTGTTTCACGTCCATGTGTTCCTTTATCTGGTCTTTATGCCAGCATTAACCCTTCAGAGGCCTGGGCATCCTGACAGGGCAGCTTTGTGACCATACCGCCTACAATAACAATAACCGACGAGGCTAAATTAACATTTATTGTACACAAATATTAAAAGTATCCACTGACTAACGTTACTAGTCTGCGGAGAGGAACTGGAACTGAAGACGGGAAACTCCCGCCGTTAACCCTCTCGTGGCCAAACACCAGCCAGGCCCAGATTCAGCGAGATGTTTGTAAAGAGAATGGAGTAATTAGATGTTCAGATACTGAGTGAACCGGGTGTTTTTACTCATCGTTACCGTTATTCTACGCGGGTTTCGCAGCGGCTCGGTTGTTTTGGCGGCTCGGTGTCGGTTAGCCGTTTAGCTGCGCATCTGCTCGCATGCGCCCAAACACCGACTCTGTTCCGGGCTTACATGAGACACGAGCCCGCTCCGACTCACCTGAACTCCGGCTCATGCGCTTCTCCCATCCGGACGGCAGCTTCTCGTCGTCAGACATGATTTGTGTCGGTGTCGGTGTCGGTGTCGGTTCTGCTCTGATCTGCTCTGATGCTGCTGCAGTGACCGGACTGACCGACAGAGGGCGCAGTGTGTTCAAGCCGCGGCACGCTTTGTCTGTAGAAACGTAGCAAAACGACGCTTTCCCTTTAATTCGGAGGACATTTTTCTGAAATGCAAATTGAAGCACATCTTATTAGTCTTTATACTGGTATTTAAATAATAATAAATTAAAAATCCGTACGTAGTAATCAAACTAGGCTGTGATTGGTTAAACCTGGCCAGCGTTGAGAATTGTAACAGGCATCACGTGACCTGCCACAGCAACGCCGATAGCAATAAAACACGCAAAACATCATATAAATAAAATACTTTTACATAAATAAAATGCTATTGAATAAAAATCTTAATTTATATTCACAGCTAAATTAAGTGAGAATATGTAGACTCGTTATCTAGACCCAGCTATTACTCAACAAGGCTTTATTAGCATGATTGTCAGTACTGATCCTCTAACTCTAGCACTCTCTATTCTATTTCTATTCTATCTACTTGTTTTATTTTTATTTATTAAAACCTTGACCCTCTAACACTAGAACTCTCTGTTCTATTTCTATTCTATCTACTTTTTACTTATTATTATTTCTTTAAAAAAAAACTACTTTATCATTAGACTAACCTCGACTTGTCACAACTCTGTTGCTGTTTTGTCGTGTAAATTAATTTCCTATGTTTAGATGATTTATTACTTGGTTTATTGCTTCTCGACTATTAAAAGGGAATTGGAGCGATAACATTTTAAATGAGACGTTCACGACGCCTGAAATCGATTGGCGGCAATTTCCATGGTGACCTCACCCGTCTGCGCTCTTGCTGGAATATTATTGGCGAAACTCGCTGTCAGTCAAACGCGCGCGCATCTGATTGGTTCATATGTGAGCCGCTGTGTTCTTCACGGCTCTGCTTTACGGCACACGCTTGCGAGAGAAACGCGTCTGATTATCTGCGGGAACAAACGACACAAATCAGGTATGAATCATACAGTTTACTGATTATTTACACATGTATTCAATATTGCTCTTTTGTTATATATTATAGCACGTGATGCATTGGTGTGTTTAACGTTAAATGAAACACAGCGCTTTTTATGTCATAGATGATTCTGGAAGAGTTCAAACCACAATAACAACACTGCCATTAAAATAATAAAAATAAACAGATCATAAATTTAGTAATAATTATATAAAGCAGGGCAAAATAATGAAGATTATATAAAGAGATTTTATATATATATAACACACTCACGCTCTCTCTCTCACAAACACACACCCAAACACACTCTCTCACACACACACCCAAACACACTCTCTCTCTCTCTCTCTCTCTCTCTCTCTCTCTCTCTCTCTCTCTCTCTCTCTCTCTCTCTCTCTCTCTCTCTCTCTCTCTCTCTCTCTCTCTCTCTCTCTCTCTCTCTCTCTCTCTCTCTCTCTCTCTCTCTCTCTCTCTCTCTCTCTCTCTCTCTCTCTCTCTCTCTCTCTCTCTCTCTCTCTCTCTCTCTCTCTCTCTCTCTCTCTCTCTCTCTCTCTCTCTCTCTCTCTCTCTCTCTCTCTCTCTCTCTCTCTCTCTCTCTCTCTCTCTCTCTCTCTCTCTCTCTCTCTCTCTCTCTCTCTCTCTCTCTCTCTCTCTCTCTCTCTCTCTCTCTCTCTCTCTCTCTCTCTCTCTCTCTCTCTCTCTCTCTCTCTCTCTCTCTCTCTCTCTCTCTCTCTCTCTCTCTCTCTCTCTCTCTCTCTCTCTCTCTCTCTCTCTCTCTCTCTCTCTCTCTCTCTCTCTCTCTCTCTCTCTCTCTCTCTCTCTCTCTCTCTCTCTCTCTCTCTCTCTCTCTCTCTCTCTCTCTCTCTCTCTCTCTCTCTCTCTCTCTCTCTCTCTCTCTCTCTCTCTCTCTCTCTCTCTCTCTCTCTCTCTCTCTCTCTCTCTCTCTCTCTCTCTCTCTCTCTCTCTCTCTCTCTCTCTCTCTCTCTCTCTCTCTCTCTCTCTCTCTCTCTCTCTCTCTCTCTCTCTCTCTCTCTCTCTCTCTCTCTCTCTCTCTCTCTCTCTCTCTCTCTCTCTCTCTCTCTCTCTCTCTCTCTCTCTCTCTCTCTCTCTCTCTCTCTCTCTCTCTCTCTCTCTCTCTCTCTCTCTCTCTCTCTCTCTCTCTCTCTCTCTCTCTCTCTCTCTCTCTCTCTCTCTCTCTCTCTCTCTCTCTCTCTCTCTCTCTCTCTCTCTCTCTCTCTCTCTCTCTCTCTCTCTCTCTCTCTCTCTCTCTCTCTCTCTCTCTCTCTCTCTCTCTCTCTCTCTCTCTCTCTCTCTCTCTCTCTCTCTCTCTCTCTCTCTCTCTCTCTCTCTCTCTCTCTCTCTCTCTCTCTCTCTCTCTCTCTCTCTCTCTCTCTCTCTCTCTCTCTCTCTCTCTCTCTCTCTCTCTCTCTCTCTCTCTCTCTCTCTCTCTCTCTCTCTCTCTCTCTCTCTCTCTCTCTCTCTCTCTCTCTCTCTCTCTCTCTCTCTCTCTCTCTCTCTCTCTCTCTCTCTCTCTCTCTCTCTCTCTCTCTCTCTCTCTCTCTCTCTCTCTCTCTCTCTCTCTCTCTCTCTCTCTCTCTCTCTCTCTCTCTCTCTCTCTCTCTCTCTCTCTCTCTCTCTCTCTCTCTCTCTCTCTCTCTCTCTCTCTCTCTCTCTCTCTCTCTCTCTCTCTCTCTCTCTCTCTCTCTCTCTCTCTCTCTCTCTCTCTCTCTCTCTCTCTCTCTCTCTCTCTCTCTCTCTCTCTCTCTCTCTCTCTCTCTCTCTCTCTCTCTCTCTCTCTCTCTCTCTCTCTCTCTCTCTCTCTCTCTCTCTCTCTCTCTCTCTCTCTCTCTCTCTCTCTCTCTCTCTCTCTCTCTCTCTCTCTCTCTCTCTCTCTCTCTCTCTCTCTCTCTCTCTCTCTCTCTCTCTCTCTCTCTCTCTCTCTCTCTCTCTCTCTCTCTCTCTCTCTCTCTCTCTCTCTCTCTCTCTCTCTCTCTCTCTCTCTCTCTCTCTCTCTCTCTCTCTCTCTCTCTCTCTCTCTCTCTCTCTCTCTCTCTCTCTCTCTCTCTCTCTCTCTCTCTCTCTCTCTCTCTCTCTCTCTCTCTCTCTCTCTCTCTCTCTCTCTCTCTCTCTCTCTCTCTCTCTCTCTCTCTCTCTCTCTCTCTCTCTCTCTCTCTCTCTCTCTCTCTCTCTCTCTCTCTCTCTCTCTCTCTCTCTCTCTCTCTCTCTCTCTCTCTCTCTCTCTCTCTCTCTCTCTCTCTCTCTCTCTCTCTCTCTCTCTCTCTCTCTCTCTCTCTCTCTCTCTCTCTCTCTCTCTCTCTCTCTCTCTCTCTCTCTCTCTCTCTCTCTCTCTCTCTCTCTCTCTCTCTCTCTCTCTCTCTCTCTCTCTCTCTCTCTCTCTCTCTCTCTCTCTCTCTCTCTCTCTCTCTCTCTCTCTCTCTCTCTCTCTCTCTCTCTCTCTCTCTCTCTCTCTCTCTCTCTCTCTCTCTCTCTCTCTCTCTCTCTCTCTCTCTCTCTCTCTCTCTCTCTCTCTCTCTCTCTCTCTCTCTCTCTCTCTCTCTCTCTCTCTCTCTCTCTCTCTCTCTCTCTCTCTCTCTCTCTCTCTCTCTCTCTCTCTCTCTCTCTCTCTCTCTCTCTCTCTCTCTCTCTCTCTCTCTCTCTCTCTCTCTCTCTCTCTCTCTCTCTCTCTCTCTCTCTCTCTCTCTCTCTCTCTCTCTCTCTCTCTCTCTCTCTCTCTCTCTCTCTCTCTCTCTCTCTCTCTCTCTCTCTCTCTCTCTCTCTCTCTCTCTCTCTCTCTCTCTCTCTCTCTCTCTCTCTCTCTCTCTCTCTCTCTCTCTCTCTCTCTCTCTCTCTCTCTCTCTCTCTCTCTCTCTCTCTCTCTCTCTCTCTCTCTCTCTCTCTCTCTCTCTCTCTCTCTCTCTCTCTCTCTCTCTCTCTCTCTCTCTCTCTCTCTCTCTCTCTCTCTCTCTCTCTCTCTCTCTCTCTCTCTCTCTCTCTCTCTCTCTCTCTCTCTCTCTCTCTCTCTCTCTCTCTCTCTCTCTCTCTCTCTCTCTCTCTCTCTCTCTCTCTCTCTCTCTCTCTCTCTCTCTCTCTCTCTCTCTCTCTCTCTCTCTCTCTCTCTCTCTCTCTCTCTCTCTCTCTCTCTCTCTCTCTCTCTCTCTCTCTCTCTCTCTCTCTCTCTCTCTCTCTCTCTCTCTCTCTCTCTCTCTCTCTCTCTCTCTCTCTCTCTCTCTCTCTCTCTCTCTCTCTCTCTCTCTCTCTCTCTCTCTCTCTCTCTCTCTCTCTCTCTCTCTCTCTCTCTCTCTCTCTCTCTCTCTCTCTCTCTCTCTCTCTCTCTCTCTCTCTCTCTCTCTCTCTCTCTCTCTCTCTCTCTCTCTCTCTCTCTCTCTCTCTCTCTCTCTCTCTCTCTCTCTCTCTCTCTCTCTCTCTCTCTCTCTCTCTCTCTCTCTCTCTCTCTCTCTCTCTCTCTCTCTCTCTCTCTCTCTCTCTCTCTCTCTCTCTCTCTCTCTCTCTCTCTCTCTCTCTCTCTCTCTCTCTCTCTCTCTCTCTCTCTCTCTCTCTCTCTCTCTCTCTCTCTCTCTCTCTCTCTCTCTCTCTCTCTCTCTCTCTCTCTCTCTCTCTCTCTCTCTCTCTCTCTCTCTCTCTCTCTCTCTCTCTCTCTCTCTCTCTCTCTCTCTCTCTCTCTCTCTCTCTCTCTCTCTCTCTCTCTCTCTCTCTCTCTCTCTCTCTCTCTCTCTCTCTCTCTCTCTCTCTCTCTCTCTCTCTCTCTCTCTCTCTCTCTCTCTCTCTCTCTCTCTCTCTCTCTCTCTCTCTCTCTCTCTCTCTCTCTCTCTCTCTCTCTCTCTCTCTCTCTCTCTCTCTCTCTCTCTCTCTCTCTCTCTCTCTCTCTCTCTCTCTCTCTCTCTCTCTCTCTCTCTCTCTCTCTCTCTCTCTCTCTCTCTCTCTCTCTCTCTCTCTCTCTCTCTCTCTCTCTCTCTCTCTCTCTCTCTCTCTCTCTCTCTCTCTCTCTCTCTCTCTCTCTCTCTCTCTCTCTCTCTCTCTCTCTCTCTCTCTCTCTCTCTCTCTCTCTCTCTCTCTCTCTCTCTCTCTCTCTCTCTCTCTCTCTCTCTCTCTCTCTCTCTCTCTCTCTCTCTCTCTCTCTCTCTCTCTCTCTCTCTCTCTCTCTCTCTCTCTCTCTCTCTCTCTCTCTCTCTCTCTCTCTCTCTCTCTCTCTCTCTCTCTCTCTCTCTCTCTCTCTCTCTCTCTCTCTCTCTCTCTCTCTCTCTCTCTCTCTCTCTCTCTCTCTCTCTCTCTCTCTCTCTCTCTCTCTCTCTCTCTCTCTCTCTCTCTCTCTCTCTCTCTCTCTCTCTCTCTCTCTCTCTCTCTCTCTCTCTCTCTCTCTCTCTCTCTCTCTCTCTCTCTCTCTCTCTCTCTCTCTCTCTCTCTCTCTCTCTCTCTCTCTCTCTCTCTCTCTCTCTCTCTCTCTCTCTCTCTCTCTCTCTCTCTCTCTCTCTCTCTCTCTCTCTCTCTCTCTCTCTCTCTCTCTCTCTCTCTCTCTCTCTCTCTCTCTCTCTCTCTCTCTCTCTCTCTCACACACTCACACACACACAGAACGAAGCATATAGTACTGAGAGCTCAGTGATAGAGACTGTGTGTGTGTGTTTCAGAGATGATTGAGGTGGTTTGTAATGATCGTCTGGGGAAGAAGGTTCGAGTCAAATGCAAGTATCCTTTAAAAACACTGAACTCGTGTATAAAATGCCTGTTTGACTGTCCTGATGGTGTGTGTGTGTGAGAGAGAGAGTGTATGTGTGTGTGTGTGTGTGTGAGAGAGTGTGTTTGGGTGGTTGTTGATGGAGGCTGCTGCTGTGGTTTGTGTTGTGTTGGTCTTAACCGTGTGTGTCAGTCAGGAGGACACGATCGGAGACCTGAAGAAGCTGATCGCAGCTCAGACCGGCACACGGTGGGAGAAGATCGTGCTCAAGAAATGGTGAGAATGCGTGTCAGATCGTGCTGAGCAGATGAGTGGAGAATACAGCAGTGATTGTAATGTGACGTGTCTGTGTTTGTGTGCAGGTACACCATATTCAAGGATCATGTGTCGCTGGGAGACTGTATCCTTCACACGCAACTCACTGTCAGCTTAGGGTTGTGACGGTGAGGAAATTTTCCCACCGGTTAATCGACGTGTGACAACACCGGTATCACCGTGGGGGCGTTCCCTCTTTTCCTCGCTTTCCTTCGCTTTTAAATAGCTTGTAAAAGCTGCGTGCGCATTTTACTTTCACTTTCAAATTAGCGGCAGTTCAGTGTCAATTGCTTGAATGTAACAACAAAATATAACGTCAAACTCACTTTAGCCTATATATAAAACATAGAACTTTTATTAACAAAACAAATAAAAATACACCATGCTATTGGGCAGGCTATGCCTAATATAAAATAACAAATAACTTACATAAAGTTTAAATAGGTATACAAAA